TACACTGCTGAGGGGAGCAGCGGGCGGGTCAGGAGAGGTCTGCCACGCCATGTGGATCTCCTCCAGGGCAGGCGGGAATCGAACTCATGCGGAAGTAGCTTTAGCTTCTCAGTGCAGTGCTTTAACCCGCTGCACCACCAGGGAGGGCCCAACACAATATATTTTTTCTGTTTATAATTCAAATAAAACCTCGGAGATTGGTACATTAAGTAATGCATTCTTTAGATGGCAAAAGGGATTATTTTTAAATCGAGCTTTGATTTTACAAAGTCAGCTGTGTTACAAAGTATGGGTGTAATACTGTACTTAATTCTATTTACCTTCTCTGGCTATGGGTCTGTGTTTAAATAATCCAAGTTATTTTTTCCTGTTATCTTACAAAGTAATGTAATACATTTTACATTTTACTTTCCCTAGGTTTAGAGACCTTTAGCCAGTTAATTTATCAAGATACTTATGGGACTGTAAGTATGAGTAGTATACTACAATACTGTTGGATAAATCTAGAAAAAATATAAACTTTTTAGCTATTAATTGCCTCTAATGCTTGCTCTCCAAATTTTTATCTTACATGGAAAAGTAAATTTCACTTTTTTTGGTTCAAAATTAACCTTTCATCTAGTATTTGCATAGATAGATGTAGTCTTCATTGAGCTTAAGAGAATATGATAAATCAGAAATTTACTTTGTCTTTCTAGTTCATCATCAATGAATCCAGCATTACTGATTCTCCAAGGTTTCCTCATAGAGGAGTTTTAATCGATACAGCGAGACACTATCTGCCAGTTCAAACTATTCTAAAAACTCTGGTAGGTTATCGTTTTACTCAATTGTTATTTTGGGTACATAGGCTGTTGTACAGGTTAGAGCAGGGGGATTAATTTTTCATGTATTATCTCTCCCTGGGAAGTGTATTTTCTCAGCTGAGAAGCAGGTAATGGGAGTTGTGTGTGAAGCTGACAAAACATGTTTTCTCATTGTCTTTCATTGATTCATCCCCAACAGTTTCCAACAGTTGGTAGGAGTGAGGACATTTTCTGTACTTTCACTTGATTAAGAACACGCTGCTATGAAAACAATTATTTTCACATTTACATTAGCCCTGAATTCTTTTCCTCAGCAGACATTGTCAATTTTACTGAAGAAGTAAATGCATGGTGGAAAAAGTTCAAACATTATAAATATACATAAATTTCAGTGTCCCAAATCTCATTTAAAACTTAGAAATGAACATGTTAACACACAAGACTATTTATTTATTTTATTATTATATTACTATTATTATTTTTTAAAGATTTATTTACTCATACAGAACTGGGGTACAAGCCAGAGATGCAGTGGGTGAGAGGATTCACCAGAGACAGAGCAGGGAGCAGAACAGGCAGATCGATGAAGTACACTGCTGAGGGGGGCAGCGGGCGGGTCAGGATAGGTCTGCCCTGCCATGTGGTCACCTCCGGGGCAGCGGGAATCTAACGCATGCGAAAGTGGCTTTAGCTTCTTAGTGCTGTGCTTTAACCTGCTGCACCACCAGGGAGGGCCACAAGACTTTTTAAAGAACTTAAATGTGGGATTGCATATTAGCTACCTTTTAACAAAACTGTGGACAACTTTCTGTGAAAGAATATATAGTTTATATTTTTTCTGATACAGTTCAATGTTCTATTTTTATATTATATATAGCATTTCGTTTCATGAGTCTCCTGCTGATAAACATTTATGTTATCACAATCAACACTGGATTAAACAACTTTATATTTGCACATTTGTCAGGGTTGTTTCTTGATAACTTCTTAAAATTAAATTTCTGGGCTCAGGGCCCTCCCTGATGGTGCAGCAGTTTAAAGCACAACACTGTGAAGCTATGCAGCCACTGCAGCATGAATTTAACCCCGGCCAGGGAGGTGACCCATAGTAGACCTCTCCTGTCTCGCCCACTGCTCCCCTCAGCAGTGTATTTCATTAGATCTGCCTGTTCTGCTCCCCACTCTAGTGAATCCTCTCATCCCTTCCCCACCTCTGGCCTGTGCCCCCAGTTCTTGTATCTATAAATAAAACTTTTAAAAAAAATTCTGGCTCAAAGATCTATACATTTTATTTTTTGATACAAAGTTGCCTTCTAGAAAAGTCACACCAACCAGTGTATGCTTAAAGTATAGTGGTGCATACATACCTTTGCCTCACTCTTTGCTAATCTGGTGTTAAGGTAATAGCATCTGGTTTTGTTTTTGGGTGTACAATACTTACCTTAGAATTGGGCAAAATGAGCATTTTAAAAAATATAATTTATTTTTACATCATTTTGTACCTTTTTCCATCTCAGTTGTAATCCCCATGGGCTTCCCGTCACCAAATCACCCATGTGCCATCACCATAGTCCAGTGCATTTCCCTCCCCCCAGTGTTTTTGATCCCATTCCCCACCCCACCTCCATAAAATGTCTCTGGTGTATAGTTGTTCATTATTATTATTTTTCCCCCTGGTCCTTTATATTCCTGTTATGAGTGAAACCATATGGTATTTTTCTTTTTCTTTCTGGCCTATTTCACTAAGCATGATCTTTTCCAGCTTCATCCATATTGCTGCAAAAGGCATGTTTGTTTGGTTGGTTGGTTGCTGAGTAATATTCCGTTGTGTATATGTACCACATCTTTTTAATCCAGTCATCTCCTTTTGGGCATTTGGGTTGATTCCATGTCTTTCCTATTGTAAATAAAGCAGCAATAAACATGGGGGTGCAGGTGTCTTTTTGAATCAGTGTTTTTGTGTCTTTTGGGTAGATACCTAGGAGTGGGATTGCTGGGTCAGATGGAAGCTCCATGTTTAGCAGTTTGAGGAACCTCCAACAGTTTTCCATAGTGGTTGTACTAGTTTGCATTCCTACCAGCATGCAGGAGCGTTCCTTTTTCTCCACGTCCTCAACAACATTTGTTATTGCTAGTTGTTTTAAGATGTGCTGTTCTCACTGGTATGAGGTGGTATCTCATTGTGGTTTTAATTTGTACCTCCCTTATTACAAATGATGTTGAACATTTTTTCATATGCTTGTTGGCCATCTGCATTTCCTCTTTGGAGAAGTGTCTTTAGCTCTTCTGCCCATTTTCTGATGGAGTTATTTTTGTTGAGTTTCACTGTTCTTTGTGTATGTTTGTGATCAATCCTTTATTACTAGTTTTGTGTGAGAAAATTTTTTCCCAATCACTGGGATGTCTGTTTTTGTAATGTTTCTTTTGCTCTCTTCAACTTGATGTAATCCATCTGTTTATCTTTGCCTTCACTATCGTTGCATTGGGTGAACAGCACCTATTTTGTTTTTAAATGTTTTATTTTTTATTGTGGTCACTGGTGTACAATACTGTAATTTAGGGGTATAGATGCACACCTCTTCAGATGTATGTTGAACCCACACCCACCACAAGAGCACCCACGCTTCATCAGCATCCACTGACTCCCCGCTTCCTTGGCACCCCATCCTCTGATGACCTCAGTTGCATAGTCAGGTTTGAGGGGCTTGTTTCAACCTTGTTTTGTCTGTTCTTTTGTCTTCTCTATATTCCATATGAGCAAAATCATCTGGTAAGAATACATACAAATTCTGTCTAGGTTTTTAAAAAATTTATGTTAAGGACCATTTTTATTTCAAAATGAATCAGCTCCCAGAGATCTTTCTTTCCCCAGTGTCAGTGACATTGTTCTATAAAGTTAAGGCACACTTCCTAATGGTGTCACGTACATGGCGGTGCTTAGTTAGCGCCCACTAGCACATACAGGTGTAATAAAAAGACAAAGTAAAATACCACAACTTTGCTGTTTGCCCTCAGCGGTGTGAGCTGCTGTTACCATGCTGTGTCACAGCCCTGGGACTTCTTGCTACTATAAGTTTGACCCTATGACCAGCTTCTTCCACTTCCCTCTCCCCAACCCCCTCTTTTAGGCTTTGGAGACTGATTGGTTATGATGAGAATGTAAGATAAAGAACTTAACACTTCTTCCACATTGTTTCTTCACTGGAAACTCACTGTTAAACAGAAGCAGATACATTGGAAACTGTTCTAAATGCAGATGTGTGAATTGGACTAGTGTTTTCTAGGTAGTATATAATTTTTAAAACATGTTTGTTTGCAGGATGCCATGGCTTTTAATAAGTTTAATGTCCTCCACTGGCACATAGTTGATGACCAGTCTTTCCCTTTCGAGAGCATCACTTTTCCAGAGTTAAGCAAAAAGGTAATTCATGTTGTCTATCTACACAGATGTTTGGTAGTTTCATTAGAAGTTCGTACTTAAATAGTTTCTTCTGGACAGGAAAAAGTAAAAATTCAGTGTTTGTGACTTAAAATTTTTTAGGTATGCTGTGGGTAACATTTCGATCCATATAAGTGTAAATTTTTATAACTGTCTTGTGAGTCTAAGTGTAAAATTGAAGGTAGGAAATGGAAGCATATATTACCTTGAGGTTAAGTAATTATACTTATCAAGGAGTTCCACTGTATATTAAATTACTAGACTTGTTTTGAATTCTGTAAATAACTATTGCTTTTTATCTATGGAACACAATGTAAAGTAGGGATTTTTGGAGATGAGAGCTCCTTCTTAGAAGATAATAGCAGAATCTCTATGAAGAGATTCAGCCAGGGAGATGGGAGTGAACCCCTGTGGTCTAGTTTAATCATCCTGCACTACAAACACAGCAGCTTTATTCCAGAGAAACTAGATGCCTCATCCAAGCTATAGCTAGGATGGCTCAGAACCAGGATTCTAAATTTCCTCTGTGGCCACAATTACAAAGCTTCTGTAAGGTTGTCACATAGTATAGGCTGGAATGCTAGCTGCACTTGAGTTTTTCACTTTTGTTTCATTTTTTTTTTTAGTAGGCAGATTTTAAACATATTTACATAAGTAAAATAATTTCATGAATTCCCATAAACTCATCAACCAGCTTCATTTTGACTAAATCCCTGACAAGCCTTTTATAAAGATGTTTTTTAATTACCATAATACATTAACACAGATTTCAAATTTAAAAAA